ATTAAACAGAGTTACTTGACAAGTACATGATTCTATATGCCATAAAATAGATTATTCACATAAGCATTTATATCAGCACAGCTATCCAATAATTTTAAATCGAAATATATATATATATATATATATAAATGATTCACTTTCATTTAAACTAATAAAAAAATCATCTTTGATTTTTTATTAAGTCTCATTTTGTGCAACTGTAATCAAACCCAATTTATATTGATTTTATTTAATTGGTTTATCTATTATTAATTTTTAGTGTGAATAGATATTATTTATGTTGAAAATATTTATTATATTTATATTTTTTTACTTGTTATACAACCTTTAAGATATATCTAAAGGTATATTTGACAAAGAAAGATGATTTTTTTCAATTGAAATAAAAACTTTGGATAACTGAAAATTTTTTAAATAAATATATGTTAAAAAGTTTTGAATAACCAATGATTTTTTAAATACATATATTTAACCCATAAATAAAAATAAGAATTAATTTTACTTATTTAAATAAAATCTTACCAAATAAGAATAATTTTATCTATTTAATTATTTGAAATCTAAATTAGTTTTTTACTTAAATTTGATTAGATAATTAAATAATTTTTTAAATATATATATATATTTTATAAATAGTTTAAAATAAAAAAATATCTTATATGTCATTATAAAAAAAAATTTTAAGAATTTTTGTAGTCAAAAAATTAATTGTTAACGTAAGAGTCCACATCAATAAATTTTATTTAATAATCATGTATATTATAATATAATATATATAATATTTATTAAATATAAAAAAAGATAAATAACAAAAGAAAAAAATAAAAGCCAAAAGCCAAAAAAACTAAATATAATATGTGGAGGCCTTGTGCAGGCCCTACATGTCTAAAATTTATATGTAGGATGGTTTAAACTTAAAGGGACTCTGAAGGCTGCATGGAAATTAGGAGGAGAATCTGAGGGTTTTCAATTTCGTAAAATGATGTTAATAGTGATACAGAACAAATTTGTGATTTGGATTTTGTAGTACATTCATTTTTTTTTTCCTTCAATAAAGTGAAAAAGGTGAAATCTTTTCCGGGACAATTGCCAAAAGGTTAGAAAAAGGATTTCCAAAATGGACAGAGGATGGCGACAGGGTCGATAGTGGGAATCTAAATTATCAAGCGAATTTGGGATTATTTTTATGGTCTAATTGCTAATTATGGAGTTTAGGTTCAATTCATCATTATTGTTAGGTTTGAAAATAATTGAACGAAAAAAGTGCTTTTTAAAAATGTGAAAACAAAATTATGGTTTAAAATTTTTAAATGTTTAATATTATTGTGAAAAAATATTATAATGAAATAAAATATTTTTAAGAAAATAAAAAATGATAAAAATTAAAATATATGAAATAATAAAATTATTTATTCATAAAATTGTGATTGAATGTAAAAATATCGCTTTATGAGTTTTTTATTTGGAATTTGAAAACCAGATTTTTAAATAAAAAATTATATTTTTTATTATTTAACATTAAAATTAAATAAAAATAAAATTTAAACATAAAAAATCACTTTAAACCTCAATATTAAACTAACTAACCTCTAAAAGAACTAGTTAAGGGAGAGAGAAAATGACTTTCTTCATTTATCATTGTTGCTTTCTTTGACTTGGTCATTGGTTTTTTGTGTTTCTATTGCCAGGGTTTGCAGGAAGTTGCCGGTGAACGTGCGTGCTTTGCTTATTTAAATATAATCCAAAAAAAAAAAAAAAACGTGCGTTAGCTGTGCGGTGCAGCCGAGAGAGAAGCTGATAAGCATTGGGGGATAGGCAGTTAGACTCTAATGTGATAATTATAAAGTCGCTCGGTCTGAATATATCTTCTTGAATTGTATTTTTAAAGAGAAACCCTGAAATGCTAATTGCTAATTGGTTTTGTATATTATTATCTTCTTTTTCTTGAGTATCGTGGTTTACATGTTCAGATACTTCATATCAGTTTTATATTCCAATTTCCAACGATAACCTGAATAGCAGATCTCCCAAGAGCCTCCGGGATCAGCTCCAAGCGGCTTCACTTTGTTGAATCCATTGTCTTTAATGTTAGGTGGCCGCGGATGTGTTGATTGCAACCCCCACTTAGCCAAGCCGTCATACCAAGCAGCCAAAGAATAAGTGTAACAAACGAAATTTACCCCTTCTTGGAAACGAGAATCACTATCTTGAGTCTTATTTTTTTTTTGGAGGTCTGGTTTCATGTGGTTGTATATGCAACAGTATCAGGTTTAAAGCCATATAAAGCAGCGAAAGCGTACTTTTTTTGTTTTTAAACATAAAATTTAAGTTGACGGAAGCTTTTTTATTTCAGAATCAAATAGTAGATTTTATAAATGATTTACTTTAAATTTACAGGTCATCCATAAAGAAAGACTGCATGCAGAAATACTCGAATCTAAATTTTATTAACCAAGTGTTTGAACTTTAACAATTCAACCAACCTCTTGATAAAAAAAAAAAAGGGAAGGAATTACATATAGATTCAACAAAGAAATGTTATCCAAGGAAAAACCCAAGTTTGAATCATCAATTGAAAACCATGGAATATGTAAATTAAGAAAGGTATAGAGTGAAAATGTTGGAGATGATTACGTGTATCTATTAATTTGGTGCCAAACGGCAAAACCGACGTAGAAGGATACTTGTCTGGTCTATAAGGCTTCATCATTCATGGGAAGTCTCTTATCCTTCACTTTGTTTGATTCAGCCTTTATTAAACAACTGCTACAATATTTGTTCCTTTGAAAATACCTGGACCATACTCCTCTTTGAACCTTAAGCTGCTCTTGTATTGGGCTCAGGCCTGAAAATAATTTAGGTTTGGGTTTAGGGGCAAACTTACCTTATTTTGGGCTTTTAAAATTGGATGGATTTGTATACTTTTCATTCATATGTTCATCTTTTACCGAATTGAAAAAAAAAAAAAAAAAAGCCCTCCATAAGTTCAAAGATTTTTTTTTAATTTTTAATTTGAAAATTTAATTTAATTATTTTATGTAATTATTTTGAAAAATAATATTCAATAAATTTAAAATTTAAAATTTAATACTTATAATTTTTTTAAATATTTTCAAATTATGACCACCTATAATTAACATGATAAAACATATGATTTCCTAACATAAGTACAATAAGTATTAGTTAAAATTTTTTAAGGTTTTAACTTAACACTTATTGTACTTATGTTAGGAAATCATATGTTTTAATCATGTTAATTATAGATGGTCATAATTTAAAAATATTTTAGAAAAATTATAAGTATTAAAATTAAAATTTAAAATTTTTAAGGTTTTTTCTCAAAATTTTTGTAACGTTTTGTTATTGTGAAAATTTTTTATATAAAAGAGATTTAAGCTTAAAAAATTTTAAGTATTGAAAATTAAATTTATTTTTGCAAAAATTTATCTTAAAAAATGAATAAATCATTTACATTAAATTTCAAATTCTAATATCTTGATTTTTAGTTGCATACATTTATAAATGCATAAATATGGGTTATATTATAAGGAGTGAGCAGTGATTTCTTTTAAAAAAAAAAAAAAACTTGAGGAGAAAAAATAATAAAAATCCACCCAAAATCTTTTCTGACAACTCATGCAAGCAACGCCAATCTTTTATGTTAACAAATGACTCAAACTGAAAACTGAAAGGGAGAAGAAAAAACAAAACCATGAAAACACTTGAAAAGAGGAAAGGGCATGTGAGTATTGTCGGTGAATGAAGACTCCCTCTCGAAAAGCAGAGAGGACATGAATATGAATGAATGATAGCTCCACATTTGCATCAATTGTTGAACGGATTACTTTCCGACTCTTAATATGACACCCTAAATCCCTCCCTATACCCCACTTGGTCTTTGTGGTTTGTTCCGTTCTTTCATTTTTAGTTTGCACTTGAAAATAATTCCTTGCTCATTTTCTTTTTCATTTTTTCTTAAAAGGGTAGTTTTTATTTGTGGACTGGAGTTTTTGGATTCCTGTGTGTCAGCAGTGCAAGAAGAAGAAATGAATAAATGAGAGCGGACTTCAACTAAAATTACTTGCTTTGCTTGCATCAGGGTGTTCATTAGATTTTTTTTCTTTTTTAAAGTGATGCTTTGTCTAAAGGCAGAAGCTTTGGATGAAGACCATCATCCTCAAACTCCAAATAATAATAGCACCAGAGGGAATGGAAATTGCAATGGTGGTAATAATGGGGGTTTTATTCTACTAATCAAGTGGTGCTTTTTTTTTTTTTTATTCTTCTTAGTCTTCTTCTTCCTGCTTATGCTTTTCTTTTTTTCTTTTTGTTTTTTTTTTGTAATTGTAACTGTGATATGGTGGATAGTTTTGCAGGACAAGCTCTATTAATAGATATTTACAATGGAAAAGTGGCAAGGTTTGGAGCAGGCCATTGTCATCTGGGGATGATCCTTGTAACTCTTGCTCTGAGTTGGAGGTAATCTGCAAAGCTAATTCTGAGCAATGTTCCAAATGCAAATTATGATCTGGGGAGTTGTTACTTTGACTTTGCAAGCAAGGAGTTCTCATGGTCTATCTATTTGTTAAAGATTTTTAGATTCTGAAATCATGTTGTTACCAGGATACTATGGCCCAGGAAAGGAGTAGACAGGAGAAAAGTGAACAGATGTGTCATTATAAATACCATCTTGAAGAAGAAGTAAGAAGATTCTATATGTCTCTGCATATTCCCCTTTCTTTTGCAAGTAATGAAATTGGTTTCTTTCACTAGATTTCCACCCCTTCTTCTGTTTCTACCCTAAAAAAAGTTGTTGGAGACTGCATGTTAAGTTTTGGATTAAGGTCATGTGTCTCTTTAGTTGTCCAAAGTTAATGCCATGTGGTTCTTTGACACATAAAAACTCAAGCCACTGTTGTAAAGTTCATTTTTCCACATTTCTGATTTCTTTAGGTCGTACAAGTCAGGATAGTTCTAAAGAAGTGTATTAGGCAAGGTAATTAAAATAATGAACAGAAAATTAGAGTAACATGAGACAAGGGGTAGATGATGATTGGTGAATTCATGAGCATTCTCCTTGGCTCTCTTTCTCACTAAAAGCTGAGGCAAGATGATTGTGCTTTAAGCCACTGAACTCTTTTTTGGTCTACATCACTGCATTCCTTGTCGACATAAATCTTAAACTTATTGAAGGTTGATTCGGATTTATTCAGCAATGAAGTGAAGAAGCATTGGCATTGCAGTAGACTTGAGTGAGGGATAGAAAAAGGAAACATGATTAACATGGATGTGATTAGGAGAGCTTTGTTACTAAGACAATGCAGTTTACTCCACAAGAGTAACACTTATGCTAATGAAGATTATTGATGTGCCATGATATTCAAGTTTTGAATTTTTTCTTAGAGGGCCAGTAACAGACAACTTTATGCAGGATTGATATCTCATGCTCATGCAACATGCTACCACTTGGATAATACTGGTTAAAAAGTTGCAGCAGCAGTTGCAGGAAGAGACTGATTTGCACGTAGCTCTAGCAAGTGCTGTTGAACACTCTGGTTCCCCTTCTTCTGATTTTTCTGGCAAGCTCCCAGATGAGGTCAGCCTGCCTGTGCGTGGTTTCTCTTCTTTTATTATGTTCTTTTCTCAATATCTTTGGACTTCAGGCCCAGGAGCTTTTAGATAGCTTAGCTGTTCTGGAGATTACAGTATCAAAGCTTGAGCAGGAGTTTGTTTCTTTACAATATCAGCTTAGTCAGGAAAGGAATGAGTGACGTCTTGCTGGGTACCATTTAAAGCATTTGCCATGTCCCACAACATCACTTTTCGATAGCTCTCTGGCTTCCCTAACAGAACCTGTACGATCATCTATATCTTTCAAATGTTATGCTGGTGATCCTGTGGCTTTTAGTGGTTAAAATTGATTATCATATTAAGTTTACTAATTGGCTTTTCTATGCCAAGTTGTTCAGAATAACACATCTGCCGTATATTCCTCTAGTCAATTGTTTCTCTTATTCTGCTGAGGTAAAGGGAAAGCTGATAAACAGTCTATTTTATTTTTCAGATTGCTAGGCCTTGCCATGAAGAGGAAGCAGAAGAAACATGGATGATATGCCTCCATCAGAGCCTGTTATTGATAACAATCATGTTGTGGAGAGCCTTTGGCATCATCCAAATCAACTATCTGGAGAAATGGTCCTGCATATGAGAGATATTTTCATCTTCTTAGCTGATTCATCCAAGCTTTCTTCTTCAGAGTATTTGGTCTCACCAGCTTCACCTCACTGTCCACTTTCCAATTTTTTTGGCATCTTTCTTAGACTTATCCATTGAAACTTCCTTAGTAAGGGGTCCCTTAGGAGGTGGTGCATATGATCCATATGGAATCTCTTGCAAAGTCAACTGGACATGTAGTCTTGGGACCTATAAAAAGCAGTTGAAGTCTGATGGTTGTTGGTTGGGAAGAAAGAATTTGAATATGCCGCTATGTCTCTAAAAATATTCAGGTCAACTCTTTAACTCCTAATTTTAGACTGGTTTTTATATCCTCATTCCTTGGCTTCTAAGCACTCGCTCTGGAGTAGGAGAGTGGAGTTCATGGAGCTATTTTATCATAAAGCCTTAAGTAGAAAGGCTTTAGGCAGTGAGCCTAACCAATTATTGCTTTTATTGTTCTTCTTTGTTTGCCTACAGATTGCTTGTTAAGCAGTTGGCCAGAGTAGATCCATCTCAAATGAGTTACAACGAGAAGCTGGCATTTTGGATTAACCTTTATAATGTTTTGATTATGTAAGTAATATGATTTTACTTATTTCCAATCTATGCATTCTACTCTCTTCCTCTCTCCCACACATACAAACAATATATAGACACACTCTAAGCTTCAATAAGTTAGGATTCTATCAATAGATATGGAATTTTGGCAAGAAGAAGGTCTCAGACCTCAGTTTCTGACCATCCTGTGCATTTTCATGACAACTAGATCAATAGATAGTACTTCTTAGGCCTTAATTGAATCAAATATCTCCTATTATTTTTTGTCTTCTATCTCTATTTCTCAGGCATATTTAGCATATGGAGTTCCATGAAATGATATCAAACTGTTTTCCTTAATACAGAAAGTTTGATGCTGTAATTTTTCCTCTTATCCCTCTACACTTCCCCTTATCTTTTATCTATATTTCTTAGGCCTATTTAGCATTTGGATTCCAAAGAAACAATATCAAACTACTTTGACCAAATTCTAACAGCTCGGCATGATGACATGCAGGCTGTCTACACTGGTGAAGGACTCTCAGTGAGTGCAGCTGATGTAGAATGCACTGTTCTAAAAATGAATCTGGCTACATATCGACCACAAATTGTATGTATAATTACTCCATTTATATACAGTTACTAGCCCCTTGCAATAGAATTTTTTATAATGCAATAGTGGCTACTCCATTGTCCAAATTTTGACTGGACATGCACCATGCAATGGGATATTATGCAAAGAGAGAGAGAGAGAGAGAGAGAGAGAGAGAGAGAGAGAGCAAATACTGGTACTTAGAAGTATTGGCATCTGTGGAAGGATGGTAAGTTAGCTTTGCAATGGATGCTTTATAATAACTTTCTGGGGTTTCTTTCATCGAAATTTGAAGTTTTTCAAGATTAGTCCTACTTTCTTTTTCTTTTCTCAGAAGAGGAAATTCATTTTTTTCCCATACCCCATTTCTTTTTTTTGTGGGCTTATTTTCTTCTCTTTTTTGTATTGAATTCTTCCTTGCCAGTATTCTATGACATATATCACTTCTAATTACAATCATTGTTAGGCTCCGGTTCTTGCACTTAAGAAATTCAAAGCTTCTGACGAGCAGCTGAAGTATACAATTGATCATCCTGAGCCTCTTCTATGTTTTGCTTTTAAGTTGTGGGTTGCATTCTTGGCCTTCGGTAAGATCTCATTTGCTTCTTATTCCCCCTTCTAGTATTTTGAGTGTTTCTTCACTTATAAAAGTATTGGAATCCACTAATTTTGTTGAGAATTTGGCAATAACTGATTCATAATAATGAAATTTCTAATTGATATGATTGGCTTCTTGTTTTACTGGCTTTTCCTATTGTCCTCATTCTTAATCAGGTGAAGACTTTCAGGCCTGAAAATGTGAACAAGTTGCTAAAAGAGTGGATGAAAGATTGCATTCAGGCATCTGTTGGTATTAAGTAACAAAGGGAAACTATTGGTTCCTAAATTGTTGCATTGTTTTGCCAAAGGAGTTGTCGAAGACTCACTTTTACCCGATTGGATTTGTCAATTCTTATTGCCACAGCAACCATCCATGGTTAGAGATTGTTTATCAGTTAATAAGTGTAGGCTCCTTGGTGCTCAAAGCTTCTCTGTCCCACCTTTTGATTCAAGGTTTCGCTTTCTCTTCCTATTGGATGCAACTTCATTACCTCTACATCATAAGACCACCCACCCTTCAAAAGTTCTAGGAAAGATGTAAAAACTCATGCTTTGACAACCAGAGCAGACAATTCAACACAACAACTGTAGCTATATTACCCACTGCCTGCAACGTGCACATTTGGTCCTGGTAGAATTAGCAAAGATCACACTGTACAGTAGTTGCTGCCAATTATGAAAATTTTCTTATATGAACAAGAACGTATGGTTAACCAAATTAGAAAAGAAAATATGAAGTACTCAAGAAAATTGTTCTTCAACTTACAGATGAGTTGCCAATTTATTGACAACATAGGAGACATTTTTTACCAACTCAACGAGTAGATTATGTGAAAATCCTAAAATTTCATGTTCGCAAATAAAAATGCAGCAGAAAATGTCTTTCACCTAAAGAGGAAGGGCATATAAAAAAAGATATAGAGGATGGATTAAAACAGATAACGTGTAAAATCAAATATATTTCTCCTATATAACAGAAAATTTTGATGCAAAGTGGTTTTCTATTTGCAACTCTGGTATAAAGATGACGGTTCATTTCTGAAACAACTCCTTGTATTAATTCTGTGCTACTCGGAAATGGAATGGAAGATTGGAAGAAAATATAATGTCAATATTTAACTACATGACTATGGTCCTATGGAATGTGCAGTAACCGCTAAAAATCGTCCTTCAAAGCAGCTCAACAAAATAGCCGTTATAACTCTCATGGTAAGAGAGCTTTCAACTGTACTCTAAAAAGATCACCAAGTGCTCCCCGAACATCCATCTGAAGAAATAAAGATACAATTGGTTACAGCAAATTTAAAGAATGAGATGCCAATAAGTGGATTATTTAATATAGAAACAGATTGGCATACTTATTCCATATCACTTGTTAAACACAGACAAAAACAAGCAAAAATGGCCTAATATCTGCACTCTCACCAATTGGGACACTACATGCAGAGGGCAGTTTTTTTTAAGCTTATTAGATGCTTAATTTCAAGAGGTGAATATGCGGAGACGAAACTGCATGCAGAATAGGGGTGATTAAGCAATATAAAAAGTGTGCCAACCATGCAGGAGCAGCGGTGATGGCAACAAAGCAATCTTAATGAGAGGAAATGCCTGAAAACTGAACACAATTCATATATCGCATACAAACTTACAACTAGAAATCTTATTAGGAGATCTAAGGTACAGCAAAGAGAAAGGGGGATTCTGATTTACCTGGTCACAGCAAACAAGTTTCGTAAGCAAAGGATAGAACTCCCTGAGGTGTTTCCTGAAAATCTTATTGTTCATGAAGCACATGCCTTTAAGCACCTGCAAAAGCAAAACAAACAGATATTCTCTATTATCACTGCAACTAATACAAATCACAAGAGCAAAGAAGCAAGTTAAACATTCATCTCTACTCAAGAAAGAGCTGATCCTAAAGCAAACTATCTGATCAATAAAAACAATTTTATGACATAAAGTGATCACCGAAAGAGTGACAAACAGGAGATATTCACTTCAAGAAAATGTGACCACTGAAAGAATGATAATGAGGAGATATTCACTTCAAAGCACTAATAGTTCAACAGATCTCCAGCAGAGACAGCAAGAAGAAAAAAAAAAAGGCAGTCCTGATAATATAAGGAAAGGAAAAAGCAAGAACTAATCTGCACTGTTTTTCTCAGTAACCATCAATTTGATCAAATGCATGATCCAGCCATTCATGATCTTGCACTAATATAATTAAAGGCTGTTTCATAGATGAGGCATAGTTGGCACATAATCTTTAACTAATAAGCAACCAGACGTTGCATTTACAAAAATAGTCTAAACCATATAATGTTTTGATATTTTCTCAAAGAGGCAGTGTGAAAAAGAACCATATACCTTAACAATGATTGGAGACCGCAACTCCAGAACCCGATGAATATCCACATTACAAGTTTCCCCTATTGTAGACTGGAGGTCAGATGCATCCTTGAGTACCTGTTCACAGAAAGACACCAGCTTCTCTTCTGCTATTCCTTCCAATTTCGTTTCTGCATAAGAATGTTCAGCCAATCTTGACCTGTTGTTGTCTGAAGAAACATCCATGTCCTGAGAACGATTATGTTCTCGATGTTGCCCATTATTATCATTAAATCCTGAAGTTGTTTTTTGCAAGACATCCAGATAAATGCAAGTTCCTGCTAACTCCTGGCGAAGAAGATTTAGAGGAGGCCTGCCAAGATATGGAGTTATTAGAAGCAAGCTTCTTCCACCTTAAGAGTAAACAGAACAAACAATGACAAAAACTGAAATTAGGAAAAACAGATTTTCCTCACCTTTCTTCAGGAATGTGGTGCATACGTGTTCTCAGGTTAGAATATGAATTATATGAAGCAGCAAACTCTACTAAGGATAATAAAATGTCCATTACAGCAATCTTCTGAGCTGCTTTCAAATTATCCCAGTATTTTTTCTGCCAATTCAGACACATTAATTGGTAAAAAAAATTACAGAAATATACCACATGATCCAAAGTCCAAAGATGCAAACCTGAATGCTCTCAATAGCACCAAGAAGTAATAATTGAGTGATGCACTTGCCCCTAACAGTTGCCATCAGTGGACTTTCCTCATCTTTGGCTTCAGGCTCAACAACCTCAGGAAGCTAGAGAAGTGTCAGATCAAATAAGAGAAGGGTAAGTAAAAAAGAATAAAGGAGAATGAACATAGTGTCAACAACACATTACGTCCATAAATGAAGGTGTGGCGTATCCTCTCTGCCACTTTTTTATTTGATCCTTAAATAAAGACATTGGAAGGTTTGACATGATAAAACGAGCTTCTTGTAGCAAATATTTGCATAAATGTAAAACAAACAATACTCTTTCTTTCATTTTTTTTTTCCTCCCTTTTTTTTTAAGAACAAGTGTAATAAATAGTTAAGCAAGCATTTTAAAGGCTTATATACACATGCACCCCCAATAAATAACATATGATAGCAGTGGAGAGTGGAGACTGAAACTATCAAGAACCAAGAACTTCTAAAGTGTCTTCTATAAGGTTTAAAAAAAAAAGGAAACACATAAATAGAAAATCTCTTGTGATCGATCCACCAGAGATATAGGAACATCAAACACCGAGAGAAAGGAATTGCTAACCAGTAACCACCAAACGGCACAATCAAAGATGACTTGCTTACCTTGGGTGGTGAAGATGGAACTGGAATCTCTGATGCACGACTCTTTGGTTTTGAGGTAAGACTTCTGAGAAATAGGTTATCCATCATATTCCCCATGATCCTTTGACCTATAGTTTGACTTCGTTGGAGACCCCCAGCTTCAGCAGACTTCTGAGATCTACCTGATGGCGAGGGAAAACCTACAAGAATAAAGATAAATACATTTGTAAAGTTTGCTAACGGACATAATATATTTCAAATGTCTGGATTGGCTGTTTCAACAGTGGCATAAAGGTTGACCCTTCGCTTGGTATGAAGCAAAACCGGACATCAGAACACTATCAGAGAAGAATTAAACTTTGTAAAAAGTTTGGCAGATTATTCCGCAAACTGAGTTTGATATATAAATGATATTAACACATGATGATACAGCTTCCCAGTTGTCTAATGTTTAAGCAATAGAAACGGGAAAAAATCTTTAACAGCTAACCTTCAGATCCATCAGGAATAGATTGTAAGCCAGATTCTTGATTGTGATATTGTGAAACAGATGAATTAGTAGTCCTTGTGCTGCTATCAATACCAACACTCGGGGATGAAAGTGGTGAAATCTTCCCATTATCAGTAGAATCAATTTGGTAAACTTCACCACCTGTATGAACCTTTAAATCTCTTATTAAAATTGAGGAGTTCGATGGATTCTCTAGTGCTAAAGCATTGAGTAGCTCAAGCGGTTGTGTTGTGTATGATGCATCTCTGTGATAAGAATAAAGTAAACAAAATACATGACTTAAAAATACAAATTCTAATTGTCAAAAATATTTAAGTATTCTAAAATCTGAAGACATACAGACCTTATGCTCTTCAACAACATATCCCAGTCGTTCTCACTAAATTGGTGTCCTCCAACCTCTATGAGATGCACCAAGGCACCAAGAGAAATTGAAACCACTGTCTGATCTGTCTTTTTAGCACAATCCAACAGCAAACTCAAGAGTGGGGGCAGCATAAAGCACACCTCCTGTTTTTTTTTTTTAAAAAGACAAGAAAGTTCAAGATACCAATAATTGTCAGGAAACTTGGTCCAAACACAACATTATATGGACCATTTAGAATTTAGATGATATTTGGTTTCCAGTCGAGATCTAAACCCCACCCCTCACCCCTCTATTTTAAATTGTGTGAATAATACAGTTAAGAGGATTTTTACACTCGTCTACCTTGTAAAAAGTGTTGAAAAGGTTGCACAGCAACTGAAGTGAATGAATGCTGCTTTCACGAAGCCACTCATCTCCAGAAGAAATTAGGCTCTCCTTTCCAGCATGTCTCACATGATCAAATATGGGAAACAATACGCGATGGAAAATACTCTCCCAAAATGGTGTTGAGAACTTGCTACCTCTTTCATTCAGCAAATCAAACAAAACTTCAAGCGCACAACTCCTAACCTCTGGTCTTGAATCTGATGTCAGATCAGACAAACCAGCCAGCATTGGGAACCAATAATGCTCAGTTACATCAAATGCTGCGTCAGCATCAACATCAATGGGTTTCAGAGCCCCACCAGGTATACGTCCCTGTAATTGGAAAATATGTTGAAGCACTTAAGCAAAGATGTCCAGTACAAAGAAAAGAATGCAGAAGAAGTTAAGCAAATTCAGAAAACATTTTTGAAATATCAATGTGAGCAAACAATTAATATAAAATTTTTTTTTTTCCTGAGAAGAGAAAAAGAGTTCATATAAACCTTCAGAGTATTAAGAAAAAACTACGGCATGCTTATCATAATAAAGAAAATAAAAAAAGTCTTCTTGGTAGAAGGGGTGGTGACCATGGACATTTTTAGACCACATTGTGAATATTTCAATTAAAAGCCCCTCTACAATGTTTTCCAGATTTACAACTATGTTGAAGAACAATAGGATTTAGTCAATGTCATTCCATATCAAGAAACGCATTTTAGTGATGCAAAAAATTAATTATAAATAAGTAGACTAGTTTCTGGAGTAAATCCCACTTTTAAGCATTGTCACATTAGCAACTAAATAGTAGAACCTTTTGTCAAATAAGATCAAAGATGCTTTTATCATTGAGATACCAGATTGTGCTTTTGTCCTTTATACCTTATCTTGGACCATTTGTTGTATTGGGGAATTTTTGTACTAAAAGTTAGTATCCTTCCAGAGTTTTGAGGCAACAATTTTCACTCCAGTAATTTCAAAGCTAAGTTCAGATCCATTCCAAGAAAAGCTTGGAAACAATGGCAGCTTGGTTATTGAAGAGTGGAATCTCCAACACCTTCATTTCTTCAGATTTTTTTCTACTGTTGGTGGCTGGCTATTCTCTTTGCTTTTAGGCTTGAGATTCAGGAATTCTCCTAGAACTGTGAAGAGCAACTGATATTTTGGTTCTTAAGCTAGTATTTTCTAATTTTCATTTCTGTATAGTATTCAAATCTTATTGCTGCCAACTGAAGCAGAACAATATGTTCAATTGACATAATAAGCCAGGAAACTACCATTAATTGCTGTTACTTATTGTTTAATGCCTAGGTTGTTTAACAGGATCTACTTGCATCAGCTGGGATAGAGTCACCGGCCAATTCACCGGAGCTATTTCAAAATTTAGAAAGAGAATCTTCAATACAACAACAACAACAACACACTAAGCCTTATATCCTAGACTCTGAGGTCGGTTGTAAGAAAAACCAAATAAGAGAATCAAATTAGGTTCTAATTTGAATCTTCTTGTCCCACTCATTTCTATCAACAACTACCTTTTCATCTAATTTCTTAACCACTATATCGGTTTTTATTATTTGCATCCATATTTTTGTGGTTTACCTCTAGATGTTTTGATCTCTCCTAGATCTAAAGATTCAATTCTCCTAAACGGTGCACAGCTAGGCCTACGTTTTACATGTCCAAACCATCGCAAACGGCCCTTTCATCTTCTCTTCAATTCAGACTACCCCTAATTTTTCTCGAATCTCTTCATTTCTGATTTTGTCTCTTCTTGTCTTACCACACATCCATCTAAGCATCCTCATCTCTGCCACGTTCATTTTCTTCTCATGTTTCTTAACAGCCCAACACTCAGTTCCATATAATAATGCAGGCCTTACAGTTGTTTTATACAACTTCACTTTTAACTTTAAAGGCATGTTACGATCACACAACACACTCGACGCATTTCGCCACCTCGCCTATCCTGCTTGAATCCTATGTTTGACAATGAGAATCTTCAAAAAACATAGTTAAATCTAATGAAATTCCTTTGACCACATGAAAACCATAATATGCAGGATTTTAACTCCACTATAACATAAGATATAATTCTATTTTAGGACCGCTACTACAAATAGTACTACACCAAAGATCGTGAAATATCGATTGCTTGTTGAACCCTGTGAATTGCGTGAAAGTAGGATACTCCAAATTCGGGGGTCCAAGAGTTTTATAAAGGTGGAAAAAAATGTGAATGAAAGATCCCACTGAATTGAATTGGGTCCATGAATCTAAGAAATAGTGAGAATTCTTGATCTCTCTCAATATCTCTCTCAATTCGAAAATCCAGGATTTGAATTGATGTCCTTTCATTGATTCCTCCTAAATTGCATTGATTTATCCTAAAGATTTCATTTCAATTGGAATTTGGTTATATAGACTCAAACAGACCCAAACCTGATTGCTTTCTGCAAGTATCTGCTTACATAGATAAATGTGGGAATGTCAACCAAACCAGAAAAACCAGGTAAACCAACCCAACCTGAATTAACTAAAAAGTTCAACAACCCGAAGCCAAAACAGCCAGAAGCAGACCGGTCTTGACTCTTGCCCTATTGCCACCCTTATGAAATAAGCTTGATGTAATAATAATATGGACATAAATGCAGACTATCATTTCAAGATGTTGTCCGATGTGTTAGTAAAGAAAATAGTTCTTGCTCGAAGAGAGCAAACAAAACAATGAAAGTTCTTTTTTGTTTTTAGAGAGAGAACAACATGCTCAATTAACAAAATCTAGCTGAAGGATGGAAAACAGACCTCTGCTAGACGATCTTCACATATACGGAGAAGGGCAACGGCCTTCAAACTTATGCGGTGGGAAGTTTTATTGTTGGCAAACCTAATAAGACAGTTGACGCAGTCCATAAAACAATCTCCAACAACTTGTTCAAAGTGCTCTAGTATAACTGCAAAGAACCTGCTGTTAGATTAATTGGAAAAAGAGAAGCATCAGTTGGAAGAAGAAAAATAGCAACTTCTTACCCTGTTCCACGTTCTCAAATGCACTTTCAACAATTGATTCCAAATCATCATCTGCAGCAGCAGTGAAAATCATAAAAACACTTCGCCATCCAGACTTTATGCTTCCAACCTTTGACTTTATCATCTGCAATGACAACGTTATCAGTCAAGGTGTCACACAAGTGCTCAATGGAAGAAGAAAAATCTGACAGTTAAAGCTTTAAAATTAAAAATATATTAACTGCAAAACATATGATGATAAAAGAGTGGAAAAAACCAGCAAGCAAGAGAGCTAGATGTTCAGGAAAACCGAGCAAGCCCACATACTTGAACAATGCAGTCAACAATAAGGCTCCTTATGGTTGCACTTCGACTATTCCGCATGAGAACAACAAAAGGTTTAAGAATATCATTTTGGAAAGTAAAATTGGTCAGTTCAGCACGCTCCAAATACTTCATACCAAGCTGCCTCAAAGAATCTATCGCATACATAGCAATTTTTTCATCAGCATGGCTGCCAGCAGAAATAAAATGATTTGCGAGGACAGTCCATATTCTAGCCCAGACCTGGTAGACGTATCAAAATATAAGCCAGCATGTAATTTGGCAGGAAAAAACAAATGATTTTCAAAATTATAAACTATAGTTAGATCCCACTAAGTCAAAATAACAGCTCGTATCGTTAAATCACACATCTGAAACTAATTAATTTATAAAAATGCTCATGCGGTAAAAAGAAAGCCAACTTCATATCAAATGCTCTATTCTTGTAAATTAGAGTAACTTTAAATGTAATGTTGATTCACTGACATTATTTAAAATTTTTTCAGAATATTCTCCACAATTTATCATGAGAGCATGGCACAAATATATCATGTAATTTATGAACCTTTGTTCCTAAAAAACCAGACCTATCAAGAAAGGAATTAAAAGCATTTTGAACCAAGAAAAGTTCGCTGAAATTCAAAGATGGTTAGAGCATTTTAAAGAGTCCTCTCTCTCATATTCCTACATGTTTCTCCACAATATTCCATATGCCCATTTAAGTAGCGTAGATCCCAATCTACATCCTCAACTTAACAAGATTCAGAATATGACCAGCCATAAAAATCTTGATAAGTAATTATAAACATGAACAAGAGGGTAAGTGGATGTCAGTCAGTTTAAAGAACATACCATTCGTATACGAGCAATATTGTAATAACTGATCTCAACGAGCTTTTGCAAGCTGAAAACACGAGCTGGAGTTTGTTTTAGTTCTTCTGCTGATACACCACAGAGAGCAGTGAAGAACTCCACAACAGAATCACTAGGCAATTTTTCACTATTCACAAAAACCTGTTCAGCAGGTTTCCCAGCTAATTCTTTCAGTGACTGCACAACAGCATCCTTGGAGATCTGATTTGATCCATGCATGACAGTTGCAGCAATAGCAGGAGTTGACGTAATAAATTCAAGCCGAGAAACACATTCGAGAACAGCATTCCATGTGTCCTGAAGAGAGTCTGGTTCTAACTCGCATAAAACCAATAGAGTCCGTAATGCTTCCACATTTTTACTACGCATTTCCTTTGGGGCATGCAAGAAAGTAAACCTAACATCCAAAATTCAGAAACTAACATTATAGCTATGCTAAGGTAAGAAGAACAGAGTAATTACAATGATAAAGCAGAATTAATACAATGTTAGAAAAGGGAGGTGGGTGGGGGAAGGGAACTAGGCAAATAACAGCAGTAAGAGGAAAATTTTCAAGTAGAACAAGATATCTTTACCTGACTAGAGATGTTAAAAAGGCATAGCGCATTGTATCCATTCCAAGGACATAGGTAATATGTATCCCAGCTCTAAATCCTTCCATACAAAGGACAACCCTCGGCTTATTTTCACCTTCCTCCATTGTAACAGAGAAAGTAGCCAGCAACGGCCATCCTACAGCTTCAACCATGGGCCTTACAAGTTCAATCTCTTGTGCAGTATAAAAAACTCCTCTTTTTGCCCCTTGGTTCCGGATAATAGCCTGTGTCTGCTTAATTATTGCTTCACTTTCAGACTTAGCATCAGTTGCCGGCTTAGTTTTAGGGAGAGCCAGATTTAGGATACTAACTAGGCGGCCTCTCTCTTCACCTTCTGGCTTTTGCCTGCTACCTTTCCCAATGCCAGCTGCATCATCTTTCATTTTTATCTCTTCTTTAACAATAGAATCATAGATCTCTTCCAGAAGTTCGATAGGGGCACACTCTTCAGGATCATTCGTGGCATTCATACGTATAAAATCTGACTTTGACATTTTTGGCCAGACCATGGGGTTATGGGCATCAGTATTCAGCATTATAACTGCATATGCAAGAACATATGCAGTGTCTGCGTTCTTGAAAAGACCTGGATTATCAGCACAATACCTGCCAAACACAAAATGAGGAGACTAATCGCCACCTAGTGACGGAAAGAGGCATATAGTCTACATAACAAGTGGACAGCAAGAATTGTATTAAAAAACACTCACCATATGACATAGAAAAATAGTTCATAGAAGTGTAATGATTATAGGACAAAGGCATTGGAATCTTATTTACATTGGCTACAGCCTAGTTATGGAAATAATCTCCAAAAGTATTTAAAGAAAAGGTTTGGCATGATGGAGAGGAGATCTTGGGATCTGACAGTGGGCGGTTGTACTACTTTTAATCTAAGATAATAAAACAAAAAACAAATAGAAGTTTGAAGGATGCTTACGATATATGAGAACAGTGTTCTCAAGATGTAATAGAATTTATTCATTCAATGATGATTCCTTTTTCCAAAAAAAAAAAAAACCCTTATAACCTGATTTTTTGGCATAAAACCTACCTATAATGGCTAAAAAGAACCCCCACTAAACTAAAAATATAAAAAAGTAGAGGTTTGAAGGATGCTTACGATATATAAGAACAATGTTCTGAAGACGTTATAGAATTTATTCATCCAACAATGATTCCTTTTTCTAACCAAAACAAAAAAAACAACCTTATAACCTGATTTTTTGGCATAAAACCTACCTATAATGGCTAAAAAGAACCCCCCCACTAAACTAAAAGTATCTGTTTCCATAATTAGATTAAGCCGTGCTTATGTTTACATTTTAGGCGAAAGAGACAGTTTTATGCACATAGCAGGGATACCCTCATACCTTTCTGCAAACTTTTCCATGATGCGATCTATCTTTTGAGCCTCCCCAGGAAGACGGAATCCTTTAAGAAATTCACGTATTGCAGTATCAAACTTCATTCCTGAAAATGTTATTGAATCTACATAAGCATGCATAACAGCAAGGGGAAACTCCTCATGTTGACCCAAATAATCACCAATCATTGCCTGCAACAATGCTTAGAGTTAGACCACTTCTCTAGGTATTGAGCAAAAGTTGTATCAGATAAGGGCTCTACCTTGTCCAGACTGGGAGTATTTCTTAGAAATAGGGCAACTGAAGCAGGATTATTTTCCACCAATTTATTTGATATCAGATACCCAACACCCTTCACTGGTTGCCTATTGAACTGCATTGTAATTAAAACTATGTTTTAGAATCTAATTACAGTCTGATAAATTGAGGACTGATCAACAATACTTTCCAGTATCGTACTCACTTCACAGAAAACTCCCAGTCTAAAATGCTAAGTTGTGAGTATAAAACCCAATCAATTACCTCAGAGATGGCAGCTTCCATGGTAGATTTATGAGCTTTTGCCTTCTCAAAGTTACTGGTAACATCTTCCCTGATTTTTATCTCAACAGATTCTCTAGCATAATCTTCTTCAACAGACTGGCTGCCTCCCCTCTTCCTTTCTGGTTGTCTTCGAGATTTCTCCCAATCAACCAGTGATTTTAGAACGTTGACAAGGCACTGAAGAGTTTAAGAAGTAAAGCTTTATCAAGCAACTACAGCAGACATGGAAGCATAAAAATATAAAACAAAAATAGTACTAATGCTTGGCAAGCTGATTTACTGGAGCTGGCCAACAGATCAACCAACCTGGAGTGAGGAACCCCTAATTGATGTTGTCTGAGTGACAGCAACAGAGTTTGGGTCAGCATTTTGTGTCCCTTGAGCTATTTTAGACAATGTGGTAACCTAGAGGACCACAAGGCAAAAGGAATAGTCAAATACGAAAGTCTATAATAAGATAAAGATATAAATAAATGGCAGGTGAATGGTAACTGAGTTCCTACCATCCGTTCAAACAAGTTTGGTGCCTCAAGATCACAGTCATAATTCACATAAACATCAACAAGCATCTGGGGCTCCTTGCAAACTTTCTCTAGTATCCTGGAAAAATAAAATTAAAAAGGTTAGATAATATAAAGCAAAGAGCAAACTAACATGGTAATGACAATATACTGAACAGTGAATGCCACACAATATAACTAAAACCATTGCTTCCCAGCAATGACAACATTAATCAATTAGAAAGAGCAATATACCGAAGAACACTCATTTTTTGGTTGATGGGGAAGTCCGAACTATCCAATGACCGCAAAACAATCAAGGGGAAGAAGACACCAATTTCACCCTGAAAAGAAGTAAGGTAAAGTACTAAGGCATAAAGCAAAACTGATGTCTATCACAGAGCTAACGCTTTACAATGAAACAACTAGCTTTAACAATCTGACAAGATTATAATCATACTTTAAGACTCTCCCTGAATCGCAACAAAAGCACAGCAAATATCCCAGTAGCATACTGCCACAAAGAAATGCACAATCAGAGACAAATTCTCACAGCAGATTCTTCTAAAACATGATATCTGAAAGAGATTATGTAGACGCAAGATAACCTGAAATAAGACAGGAGACTGTGAAACTGAAGCTCGCAGCAAAGCATATGATAGATATGCTTTCACTGAATCAATGAAATGGAAGTTCTTGGTAAATGAATGGCCAACCCCTTCCAATAGACCCTGCAATACCATAGGCAAGCAAAAATGATGAAAGATATTAGCTATCTTTTCTTTATAACCATTAAAAATAAACAAATTTTAACATTTTAAAACACTTTTTGCTGATAAGATTCTTTTGGAGCTACCAATAGATTATATTCTACAATTTCACACTTCCCTATCTATCCAAACTCAAATACAATAAGGATTACATCTATACTTTCCACGCCAATAATAAGAAAGAAAATAGCAAATATATCCTCTTAACAGAGAAAAACAAAATGAAGCATTTGTAAATATGACCCCACAAAGTCGGGAAAGAACTCTATTATATTATGCAAAGACTACTAACCAAACATTCTTACAGAACATAGAATAAATTCATAAATTTAACCTGCAGAAGTTCAAGAGACAGAATCCGTGTCTTGGTTGTGACCTCATCAGTATCTTCCTTCATACCCATCTACAAGACAAAACATTTCATGAGGGAATGCTAGCAGAGACTTCAAAGTGCCAAGAATAATTGGTGAGGGAATAAGAAGTAGACCAACCTTGCAAAGGGTGCGGAATACTAGTAATGCATCACGTTTACCAATACTCATGCTCTCAAGGTCAATCCCTCTAAGATGAGTTTCAAAAGTTGCGATACCAAGCATCAATACACAATTGCAACAATATACCAGCAAAAGCAAGAAAAGAGAAACTAGCAATCTGGGTAAAATTTTTAGTCCATACCTTGTGATCTTTTTACCATCCTCAACATGCACAACTTTGTCAAGAGCAGCCTCTAAACCCTATAAAACAAGTAGGTATCATCTTAAGAACCATAAAAAATCAAAAGAAAACTTCACTAAAGCAAACACCCAGCATATGCTACAAAACCTAGACAATGAATCATAAAAAAATAATATCTAATATAAGGATAACCTTGATATCAGCACCGCCAGCAAGGTTTTGAAGTTCCTCAACAGATGCAAGTGTAGCATCCTTGACCCGGTAAAGTGCATCCCCTAAAGTCATTTCATTTTCATTTTGTTCACCTGAAGAAGCTTCTACAGGTTTTGAGGTAGAATTCTCTGAAGAAGCAGCTTCAATATCATCAGAAGAACCAGATGAAGTAGAGACCTGAATTCCATGTAAAAGATATTATCATCTTTCTTCCTGATGTAACATAGAGCAAAAAAATAATTAAAAGGTTAGAACTATAAATTCCACACCGGATCAACCTCCATTCTCCTAAATATGATGCTAATCATCTGTGTCAACATTGCCTTTGATGTCGCTTGGTTTATAGGGCTCTTGCTACACATCAAAACCATAAATCATGAGAACTATTTTAAGTTGGAGTGCGGACTGTCACTATATTCAACAAATACAAACAGCACCTATGAAGAGCAATATTGTAGCAGACTCTGATAACTCCAAGCAAAGGTTCCCCATGGACTGAATTTCAAATTAGCAATATTGTAAGAAGACTCAGTTCATATACTGGATAATAATAAAACAGATAAGAATACCACTAGATCCAGGACACCATACCTCTGAACTTTGTGGATGCTACAGCCGTAAGAAGTACCTTCAGCACTTGCAGGATTGTACTGCAAATTGTTTTCCAGAATTAAGCATGTAACAAATAACATATGCTATAAACAAGGTTAACAAACAAAAGGGGATATACCTGTCAGGAGAAGAATTATCAACACAGCTGCAAACCATATTCAAAATGTCTGTAAACAGAGGAACGTTTTTACCACCATCTAAACCAGGATCCCCCTCCAAATGATCATAGGCAATTAGTTTCTGTGCTTATGGAATTAAAACATATCATGTCAGTAATCGCTATGCAGAAATTGAAGACATAAGAATTTCCAAAAACAAATTGAACATAAATAGGAAGGTCCTTTTGGAATATATGTAACAGGCTTTCAGATGGATTTGGATTTCCCTTGATGTTATATAAGAACAATAGAGAAGACCATTAAGTAGAAAATAAACATTAAAAATTAATAGATCAAGAACGAAAGCAACTACATACATGAAGACAATCCAAAGCAGGTTCAAGGATTTTCAAGTTTTTTGTCTCAAATGCAAGTCGAAGAGGATTCAGAACAAGTTCCACCTCAGCCCCTTCCAAGGTGTATCCTGCATTTGCTAAGGCAGTTGTGATGGTTCCACTTACAACAGTTGGCTTACTAACATGCTCTGTTTCCCCAGCACTTTGTGAAACTGTACTTGATCCATCAGGTTCTGCTCCAGAATTTCCAGCCCCAGTTTCAGTCTCAAGGGAACTGTGAGTAAAAAAAAAAAAGCAAAAATTAGAGGGCATCGATAATTGTTACAGTATAAATCATGATCATATTATGGTAAATTATATCAATTACACATCATTTTTAACAAGGCCATTTAGAGTTCTAGTTGGCCGAATTTGACAAAGAATATAGTGACAGCAAAAACTTCAGCACTGAACTATATTGAGAACAAATAATTGTGAACTAATAGACCAAAAAATTATAAACGGCTATTTCATTGGGTTTATATCTTGGGTAAGAAACTAAGAACAAATCAAGTAGGAACAAAAAAGAGTAGCAGATTATAAGATTGTAAACAGATAGAAACCTTCCATCTCCAGCCATTGATGCTGCTTGATTTGTCTCACTAGATGAAGAAAGTTGATTCGTTTGCCTTGGACTATCTGAAGAAATGGAAAAATATAATAAAAAATAAAAAAGGCAAAAGCTACGACCAACCAGCAACAAGTTAACATGAAATTACAGAAACAGATATGTTCACATATTAAAGAAAACCAGTGAAAATGTTTTCTATTAAATGCTGGAGAACAGTGCACAGTAGGAAGTGAAAGCCCCACATCCTTACTCTCAGACCCATCCTTTTCTTATTGATAACATCCTCTATTTAATGCAGCAACGACATCAGAAATATTGTATTTTAAAGAATTAATCAATGAGGGAGATGGAAAAAAAAGATTAAATCCTAGAACAAACCATAGTAACAAGAAAAGAACCACATCATTATGCTTCTCACACACCAATTTTGCTTACAACATAAATCCATCAGACATGAGGATATCTTCTACAACAATCAGACATGAGGATATCTTCTACAACAACAACCAAAAACTAAGCCTTATATCCCATAACTTTGGGGTCAGCTATATGAAAGGCAAAATAATAGGAATCATGTTAGGTCATAGTTTTGAATCTTCTTGCGCCACTCATTTCAATCAAAAGCAATATTTTCATCTATTTCCTTAACCCTACATGAGGATATCTTCTAAAAGAGAAAAAATCCTTAATTTTATAAAAAAGTATAACTAAGTACTTAAATAATAAGGGCATCAAGTACTCCATAGAAACCGAAGCTTCTTAATCTAACGTCAAAGGAGATTGTGACTTACACAAGTATTCCTAAACCATAATTTATGTCCAAAGCACCATTCTAACTGCATTCTAAGCAATAGTATTGTCGAATAGGGGTAAAAATAGAAGGCAAATTGCAAACCAAACAAAAATCAATAGAGCAAATTCTGAAATTAAAACTTGCCGGTAAATTAGCTGAAAATCAAAAGTAAACTAAAAAATAACAGTATAAAGAAAACAGATTAAAGACAAAGAAATTAAAATTAAAGAACAATTACCAGATGAAAGATGATCAATGTAATCGCAAATAGAATTCATCCTCGGTTTCAAAGAAACAATAAAAAAAACGAAGATCGATAAAATAAGATTTGAATAAATAAAGTATAGATCTGACCTAAATAAGTCTGAATAGCCTTTTGAAGATCGTTATACTTCTTGCCGGCACATTCCTTGAGCATCGACTCGAATGCTCGGCTCACAAATCCACCTGCCGCCATTGCGCTCTTATCCGATGCCTCGAGAGTTCCAGAGTTTCCTTCTCTCACACCTAAAAAGCAAAATTCATTGCCGAAAAGAAGAAATTAGATGTTGATTAGAGAAACGGAGCCAGATCTCGAAAAAGAGATTTAGGATCTGGAAGTAGATCAAACCACAAAAAAAATAGAAGCAAACAATAGAATAAGAGTTACCTGTTTTGATTTGTTTTGAGAGAGAAAAAATTTGGAGTGAAAAATGTTGAAGATCCGAAAAGAATGAGCAGAACCGTTGAACCGAATATCAGGAAATGTTTAAACAAGTGTATTGTTTTTGTGTCTATTGGGCTCAGAAGGATGAGCCCAGACTATGCCCCGGCTCTTTGAATTGGATTTGGCGACGATTAATAACCGCCACAGGATTAACGGATCTTTGACAAAATTGGACTCAGATTTTGTTCTATTCCGTTTTCGCTATTTTTTTTATTTTTACTCATTAATTATTGTTGACGGATTTGAGCCCAAATTAATTGGGTGGAGTATCGGCTTCGAATTCGGGCCCAATGAAATGTAGAGAAAGCTCATATCCAAATTCGAACGCGTTGATTAGACTGCAGCCTCACATTCTTAACCACATATTTTGTTCTACTCCTTTTTATTTTTTCAAAAAACGGGCAGGAGAATTTCCTGGACCATGCAAACGAAGACTCTTGATTATCGATCTCATAGTAGTTGCCTTCTATTTTCCTATATTTTTTCCTTGGTCGTTCTTTTGGGAAAAAAAAAAAAAAAGAGCCATGTTGCAATCTGTTATAGAATTATCTCGTTATATACCATTGTGTCAATTTATCCCAAAATTGAATATTAATAAATTTTATTATTTTTGTAGTTTATTTATTTAATTAATAAATTATAAAATATTATTTTTTAATTTTTTATTAAACAAATAAAAATTTAATTTATTCACAAAGTGTTCGTTAAATAATTTTTCATTTATATTTATAAATATAAATAAATTAAAAATTAATAAATTTTATTATATTTGTAATCTATTTATATAATTAATAAATTATAAAATATATATGTGATCGATTGTTAAATTTAATAAATAAATAAAAATTAAATATGTTTATAAATTATTTATTGAATAATTTATATATTTATATTTAAATTATAAATAAATAAAAAATAAAAATTTTTATTATATTTATGATATATTTTTTAATTAATAAATATTAAAATATTATTTAAAATTATTTATAAATTATTTATCAAACATTTTATTTATGTTTAAAATATTACATTTTTTTGGTCCGCTAAATTTTTGTATACTTCCTTAGCAGTTAATTTAACTCATTAATTAAAGTCTTGAACTAAAGCAGGTACTATTTAGAAAATAATAAAAAGAAAAACTTTATATAAAGTGAATTATTATGTGCGGCCAAGAGAAAGCCAGATTAAAAAAAATGATAATAATAACTACCACTTAAACTCAAAAATTATCAATCGAAACTTTCCTTTGACCAAAGATCCCAACTCACTCACTCGTGAAAAACTCCTTCTGACTAAAGTTTTAGGTATTTACTTTTGGTCTATTTTTATTTTTTTGTTGATTATTAATTAAAGAGTGGGAAGCTCATCGTCTACATGCCCAATGATGATGTGGCGGAATCAACATAAATTACCATAATTGGGAGCAAAAAGAAAGTATGGTTGTTTGAAACTTTAAGAAAATGGGTAAGTTAAAAGAAGACACATTTGTCAAAGGTTTTAGGTTTTATGTATTCAGCTACTCCGAGGGTCAAGCTTATAGAGTTTAGACCACTTGACTGTTTTGTTTCTCTACTTTGTGGCCTACCCCAAAGAACAAAATTGATCATGCCCAAACTATCAACTGACTGCTAAATATACAATAATTATTGTGCTAAGCTCTATTTCAATGATCAAATGAGCAAACAATATGTGAAAAGAGGGAAAAAATTTATAGAAAATTTAGTGGATCAAGGAAGGAGATCATCCCCAAATAAGTAGAGTAGCCGCTCAACGGCCCAGCTGGGTTCATTCTTAGGCCAGTCCAAGCTATGAGAAAAAGTGAGTAAAGGGGCCCTACAAAGTGGGCAAGTCTTGTGATTATCTTCATGATCGTTGTTATGATCATGATCAAAATCATGGTCGTGATCTTGATCATAGTCAACCCATCTGTCAATGCAATCTTTATGGAACACGTGGCAGCAGTTAGTAAGTTCTCGGACCTCATCACCTTCCTTCAGCCGACCCAAGCAAACTGCACACGTGTCAGAAACACAAGTCACCCTTTCTTTAGCATCTTCAAAGGTTGTCAGTACCAGACTGTCTCCCATCATTTGTGAAGAAACTGAGGAAGAAGAAGAAGAAGAGTTGTTTTGGGAGTGAGATGAAAAACTATTGGTGAAGAAGCAGCTTATGTCTTTAAACCTAAGAGCCCAAGACAAGACCCATCTTAACACTGCTAAAACAACAGCTGTTTTGTATAGAAGATGGGTTGCAATTAGCCCTGGATCCTCTACAAAGAAACTCATGGAAACAAAGAAAGAACAATGAAGGGAAAAGCAAAGTGATTAGCAAAGAGGAAATAAAAAGAAAGGGGAAGAGTTAGAGGAGCGTCCGAGGACTTTTATCATAGAAGGGGGCCAGCCAAGAGGGGGGAGATAGTGGATTGCTTTGTTGGATTTTGTCGGCGTGTAAGCATTGGAATAAAGGAGAGAGGTAGGGGGAGGGCCCGAGTGGGTGACCTTCGGGTGCAATCGTGTAAGTCACAGCTCAGAAGGACGGTGGTCGACAATCCCAAGAATCTTTCATTTTAGAAAAAATGGAAATAATAAGCATTAAGAAAATTTGAAGGAAAAAGGGCGAAAACACGTGGCTTAAAGTTAGATTAAAGTAAAGCAACTGGATCGGATCATGAGATTGTGTATGTACCCAATGAAGATGGTGTTTTGCTTCGTAAGGAATTTGGTAATGGAAAGCCATCAAAAATTGTCTAGTACTAAATAAAATGTTGGCCATGGTCAATGCTTTTTTCTTTAAAAGAAATATAGAGAAAATCCATAGCCTATCTTTTTTCTTTTCTTTTGTGTATTTGGATAATGTGGTAAGTTTTTTCTTCTAATTTGAAACATGTGTTCATATTCTAAGACTTTGACCAAAAAAGATAAGAATTTCTTCATTTTAGCTGTGATTTTTTTAGGTTTAAAAAAAAAGAAAGAAAGAAAGACCTCTTTGGGAAGTTAAGACCATGCACTACATTAGGCCCATTCTGGTCCCATCTTGTAGGCTGAAACGTGCTTTCCTGCATGTGCTCTGCTGACCGCTGCCTGATTCATGATGTAAGCATTTGATTAAATTCTACGTTCAATCATAAAAGGAAAAGGTAGGGGGAAAAACCTTAAATTTTAGAATGTCAAGTGGAACGGAAGGAAAAGATCATCCCCTTCCACACACACACACACACACACACACACATATATATATATATATATATGCAAAATCAAAGAAGATTGCTTTGCTTTTTCACCCATGACACGTTAGAAATGGCCCCCATCACACGTTAGTTTCCACAATCCCAGTCAGATCCCACCAAGGCACTACCATTTCCTATGTTACTTCACGATTTTAACTTGGAAAGGAAATGGTAATGGGGAAAAAACATATAAAGAATGAAAGAAAATAAACAATGTTTTGTCTTTCAGGAAAAAAGACCCTGGTTATACCTCAAAGCAATGGAAGAGTGCATACAGACGCATACAAAAGAATGAGGCTAGCGTCGGTCATTCGTTTAGGGAATTCCCGCATGGCCAGTAGCGCGGCTCTAGAAAAAAAAAATCGATGTCCACTTAATATATATATATATATATATATATTGTTGATAGATTTATCATATTTATGATGAAATTTTTTTAAAAAAATTTCTTTATATTTGGAGGTGTGCAGAAAAAATTTTGAAAGTGTCAAGCGAATTTTTTTTTTTTTTAATTTTAAAAGTATCCATAAATACCCCCTCCTTCTCCTTTAGTGGATCCGGCACTGTGCATGGCTACGCCAGGTTTGATAATTATTCAACAATGGAATGAATATGCAACAAACAAAAAAGGGGAATTCTAAAATCCTTATCCATGGCTTCAGCTTCTACCAAACATTTTGACCACGTTGTATGCCAAAGTAGAATCAATGAAAAGAAAAAGGGCTAAATTTTAATGGATTAAAAAAAAAAAGGAAAAAATTGTGCCCCCCTAGTTCATCAACCAACCAAAGTGGCCCAACACATTCTGTCACACGTTACATGTTACCAGAATAGTAACAGAACTATGGAGTTTAATGTTTTAATAGGAACTTTGTTGCCTCACAACAGCATTCTGATTGTTGATAAAAAATAAACTTAAAAACAGCATTTGGATTGAGCCTCTATGTCGTGCAGCCCGTTTGATGATTTGTCTACCAGATATAATACAAACACTTGGGCAGCATTATAGTTATGATTTCTTGTTGAAACTGACAGCATGAAGCATTATATCAATAATTTATTGTTGAAGCTTACGGCTTGAGCTCATGCATGTCGGCTAACAGAGTAAATTATGTATCTTCCTTCAACTTCTCGTCTAGTGGATTTCATGCTGATCGCTTTCTTTCATCTTCATTTGCATCTTGTATTGCAAAGTGGCTGGTGCACAATCCAGTGGTGTTTCTCCTGGAATTGATGCGGTTCAAAAGCGTTAAAGCATAATCAAGAGACAAACAGATCATACAAATCAAAGCCAGATATGATACCAACTAAATCAGCAATGAAAAGGATGTGGAGCTCTCGATGATGGACTTCTACGAAACAGCATCATTCAACACAGCTATACCATGCGCATCATGCTTCTTTGAAATTTAAGTGAGAGTTCTTTGTCTTTTCCATTTTCCATTTTTATAAAAAAAAAAAAAAAAAAACCCTTGATTTTATCTAGAATCAAAGGAGTTTCTAATGACATTTTCAACTTTCAGTAACCTTAAAACTCTACCATGAGTAGCTTCAATTTGTAAATAGACATATTTTAAAATTAGGAATGCCACAAAACTCAGCATACAATTAATTACCCTGTGCATTCTTGTAGTCCATGCTTGCTCCAAAGTCCATGAGCGCAAATACTATATCAGTTCGGTTGAACAGTGCTGCCTACAAGAAGTTAATTCTGTCATTAGTGTCATATAATTTTGGAAAGAAATGGAAATTATAATTATGCATTCAATTGGTCAGCCTTCAAGGACATGTATACACGATTGCACTCACATGTGCAGAACTACACCATCACAAAGAGAGAGAGAGAGAGAGAGAGTTGTACCAGATGCAGCAAAGACAATCCTTGCTTGTCATGGTAATTTGCATCAACACACTGCACATGCAATCATATGTAAAATCCATTGCAATTGAAATATTGGAATGCAAGCATAAAATCCATTCCAATCGAAATATTGGAATAAAATCATACATACCTCACTTAGAAGCTTTTTGACTGCAGCAATATCACCATTCTTTATAGCTTCTCTTAAACCCTGAGTATAGCAATGCACAAGTACATAATTCAAAAGATGTAAAATCCCCAGGAAAGTTGAATGTCTCATCACTATTCAAATACTTCATTAAAGAGCTCTACCTCTCCATTGACATCATAATCAATCTGAGATTTATCTGCGGCGGTACCATTGGTCACTAGACCAGGATTGAAAACCAAACTGCAAAATGTTAACCATGTGTGAAAGAGTCCCATAAGACAGAAAGCAAAATTTGCCACCAAAAGAAGCTAGAGACCTAAACAAAAAAGAAATCATTTCCTTACTGACATATGACAACCTAAAGAGCACAATAGGACACCAGAAAGGCGGAGATGAAAAAAGCCATGCAAATAGAAATCAAGATGGTTGGAAATGTTGAAACAGTATGGGTATTTTTCACAATTATCCCCCACTACATTAAAACTTTTTCTAGTAACTTCTATCAGAATGTCAAGCACAAAAAGGAAATCAAGACGAAGAGAGAAGGTAAACTGATTTCAGTATTTTATGCCTAAAACCAAAAGTCCATGATTTTACTAGAATCCAACTTCAGGTTTCAATTAACTCAGGTCAGAGCACAGTACTAAAATGGGCCAGAAAGTGTTGAGGTTTCCACGTTCCAATTGCACAAAAAGAAATAATATATTACCATTTGACATAAAACACTATGTTCGGAAGAAGTGCAGAAGAAAGTTAGAATACAAAATTCAAGGATAACATACCTAGATTTGCTGTTTGAAGTGGAGCCTCTACTCTTGGGAACAGTGTCAGTCTTTTTTGATTTTGGATTTGATGAAACCACTGAGGATGGAGGATCTTTCATCTGCCACAGGAACAAATATGGGTCCATAACAAACTTGGAACAGAATATGAGGCACTGTTAAAACTACTGAAGCATTCATACCTTAAGTGGAAGTGCATCTGTGGTTGGTGCTGGAGATTCACAAATACACAAAGGCATTCCACACTTGCAATCTGGAGTGCTTGCAACAGGCCAATGATCTGCAGTTGCTTCAGTTTTTGAACCCATAACTGCATTAATGCTTAGTCGAGAGACTTCGTCTGTAACATAATCAACTCCATCTAAAGAAGGTTGAGGATTGGCTTTGGTAGATCTGCACCCAAATAAATCCACAACAAAATAATGTGAAGAAATAACAAAATATTAAGAAACGGCCTCTTAAAATAGTACTCAAGCAAAAAAGAAGAAAAGCAAAGTGAAGCTGGAGTAGAAGGCATCCACCACCACAAAGATCTGAGACACATCCCCCAAGCTAACCCCCCTCCCTTCTCTTTCCAATTGATAATATTTAAATACGTACAATGTATTCAATCAAGAGAGGTTTACCCTGAAGAGTTATTGAAACAATCTGCACAAACTCTAACAGACGAGAGTATGCCAAATTGTGGTAAAGCCTGAATATGCACACAGTAAAGAGAATAAAAAAGATTGCTTAGTTAATAAAGCTGATTTATTCAAACTTTTACAACTTAAGAAATGTATAGTTAACCCAAATATATAAATGGAAGGGATGGGAGCTTGAACCATTTGATTAGATGAATGTTCATGACATAATGTCCTTCCACAACATCGGCAATGGTGCTGCAAAGTGGAGAAGAGACAAACCATTTGATTTCATGTACTTCCCATATGGCAATCAGTCTAACATAGAATAGAGGTACACCTACTTTGAATAGAAATTGCAGATGAAAGTGTGTATATTTTACATTTACATTTCCTTCTAACCAAGAATCATCAATCATAATGAGCTTTTGCAACACATATTCCTTGAAGAATAGCAAGCTAATATCACTTTGATTATAGTTGATACAGAAAAAAATCTACAGAGTTTGGTAGCACTTAGGAATTAGGATCACTCCACTTTTGAATCAACGTTAGTAAACAGTAACGGATTTTACTCCTGCATAACAATTTCAAGTTTCAACAGTCTGGAACCAAGTATCCCACCCCAGCTATGGCATACATAAAATTATATCAAAGTCCCTCAATTCACAGCCTCGAGTTTTCATACAAACATTAACTCGCAGTCACACATCCGGACTTATAGTCATAACATCAGGCTTGCACCCCATTCAATCTTCAACTAAAGATGGCAGTAGACGTAGCCACTTAAAGGCAAACTGGATTATCAATACTTCCAATTACCAATTTAAAGCATCCAAAATTAAATTAAAAAAAAAAACTTTGAATCAGCAATTTAACGCATTGCAAAAGTCATCTTTAGCGTGAGTAGATCAGTCAAACAGCTAAGATCAAAGCAAAGAGAGAGCACACCAAGATAATTTAAATAATTACTGAATTATTCGAAATAATAAACTCTACTCGTTAAAATCTACTTTACCGAACGATATATTTCATTATTTTCATCGGATTAAATGAGTATGATCGGTAATTTCTTCGTGTAAAAAATTGAGAAGAAGAAAGTACCCGGCGCCTGAAAGTGTTGAAGATGCATTTACATACGTCGCAGCGTGGTGCTTCCTGGAAAGGCGGGGGCTCCGATGCCATTTCCGATCTCTTCTTTTTCCCCTCCGCCGGCGAATGCAGATAATGACAATGAGTTTTTATATTTTTAGGTGCTTTCCCTTTCTTTTTTTTTTATACGGTGTTATTCGATGATCGGGTTCCATCAGTATGCGAATCGTACCCGAATGTGATCCACTTACCCGCCATGTCGGCCTGTTGTTGAAGGGTGAATACGGGTAGAAAAGTAGATAAAGAGAAATTTTCCAATTAAGACCAATTAATCATTTCTCTGGAATGTAAGTATTACCTTTTACATAATTATTAAAAAATAAACAATAAAATATTCATTATTTTATTTTTTATATTTATTTTCTCTTTTTGCTTATGTATTTATTTATTGTGTTTTGATATTTATGGATTAATCTATTTTGTATGATCAGAAGAAGAAGGACAAATTTTGTATTCAATAAAGGGTTAAAATGATCATGAATTTATTTCTATTTTAGATTTGGCTATAATTATAATTATGAATGATATGTAAAAAAAAAATAGTATTGGCATATTTTTAAAAACATAAAAAATTATGAGGTTGAATCTTCAATTTTCAAAATTTATTTAAAAACATCTAAAAAATTGAATAAAAATATTATAAATATTTTTATATTTAAAATTATTGGATATTAAATTTAATCATTAAAATTAAAATTTTAATATTTTATTAATATGCTACACAATTATTAACAAAAAAGATTATATTAAAAGTACATCTAAAATTATATCTTTAATTTGAAGTTTTCTTATTAATGAACCGGATTAAGTTCTCTTTGTTTTTTCTTAAATATGTGCCAGATTAATATTGGCTTCAAAATTATTTCAAAGAAGTATATATCACCTTCTCGCTTTTGCTTTTCTTGACTTCATATACAAATGATCATCGTAGCTACAAATCTATATTTACAAATATTTTTTTATTAAAAATAATCATTTTTTTGTTTAAATAATATATTTATTAAAAAAAAATTCTACATTACTATGTTTTTCAATTTAGTCAAATTAGAAGTGTAAGTTGGCCTCCATGAGATATTTTCTTCTCTGGCTCCGTCCTCGTTGTCAAGTGCTCTTAAAAGAAATCAACGATCTAGATTTCGACATCTATCCACAACAAAGTCGACGGTCTATACTGTGCCACATAACAGTGTTGTTTTAAAACTAATACACTGCGTTTTGGCAATTTTTTGTTGGAGAAATGACGTGACTTTATAGAAAAATTTTTCTCTTGATTTCATCACCCCGCCCTTCAAAACCCGGCCTCTCATAAGCACCAGAAAAGGAGAGAGGATTTGATACTCATCTTTATGTTGAAGGATTTTTAAATATTTAATTAATTAGTGAAATTTTGAAAACAAAGAGATGCAGCTACATGACGTGTAAAGGACGAGAACTGGCCTCTCCGGTCCTTTTATTGGACCGGACAGGAGCCGCGTCCGGTTAAACTAGTGGTTGTCTCGTTAATTTAAGTAAAAAATGAAGAAAAAAAAACGTGGGAAATTGTGGCAACAATCAAACAAGCGATTGTGAGTGGTTGCATAAATGCAGTCCAATTATTCCTTTTGCAGTGGTCCAACTCCAAAGTCCTAACTAACCCCCTTAGCCTTTGAAAAGTCGCAATTATGGGTAATAATCATCATACAATAATAATACATTAAAGGTTAAAATATTAATTCATCAACAGCTTGGATTACTGTACATTTGACACGTATCAATCTTCCGTATACCAACAAACCAACCATGACCGTTGGATAGGTTTACGTACACTTTCACTTTCACATACTTTTTCAGTTTTTAATCACATTTTGGCCTGCCTACCCCAAGGCAGAGAGAGATTTAGCAAGTAAAGGAGAAAATATGGTTTCCATGGAAGGCGAAGCTGAATCATTCAACGAAGTCAAGCCACACGTCGTCGTTGAAAATAATGGCGATATTGTCGGTGATAACGATGTTGGCAAGCCGGGATCCGTTGAAACCCCAATCTTCCAGAACTGGTAAGCTTCATTATATTCTTTCCAAGAAGAAAAAATTTTCCGGATCTGGGTCTTGTTAGACAGTTTTTCAATTATTCTTCAATATCTGTTTCAAAAACGGAAACTTTTCACATAAGTTAGTTAATTTACTGTTATTATAGTGAAATTTAATACTTAATTAATTACCCTAATCTCGTTTAAAGAGGGCAATTTGACTATGATTTTACATTTTTCTCCTGTTGGGCTACGTTATTGGCACCACCTATATTTGACAGTACACTTGTAGTTTTCTTGATGTTAAATGGTTGGGGTTGGATTGAATTACTGCAAACTTTGAATTCCAAGAAACATGGAAGAGAAAATACAGGTAATTTCTTTTTATGGTAGGGAAAACATTCCGGTGGTCCTTACTCTTTAGTATTTAAAAGAAAAAGAAGATGCTTAGTTGTTTAGATCTTATATTCTAGGTTAAGGTGTTAGGATTTTCTTGACTTTTGCATCTCATATTTATTTTGAGGGCTTCTAGTTCTATATATGTTTCCGTTTGGATATGGCTTTTCCTTAGAATACTTGAAGATGTTCAATTGTTCATGTAATCTACAAAAATTTATAGTGACTCACTTAAGAAGAAGAGCAATCTATGGCCTTTTGTTATAAATATCACAGGACAATGTCACTAACTGTACAATCAACACCAGAGTTTGTTATTCGGCTTTATAAAAGTCAGATTTAATGAGAAAATTTAGTGTTCGGAACTGCATGCATGTACTTTTTGTGTGTTTTGTTCCTTTGGCAAGCTTCTATAACGTTGTGAAACTTTTCTTCTGTTGGTGGAAAAGTTCCCTAGCAATGCCTGCATCTGGACTAAATACCACAAGTCCTGCTCCATCCCAACTCACCATCTTCTTTGGTGGAAGTGTTTGTGTATTTGATGCAGTTCCCATGGAAAAGGTTGGCCTTTACTTGACATTGAAGATTTTACTAAGTTTTAGTGGAATGAGGTTTTATTCCATAATTCACCAATGATTCATGTCTGTCAGGTGAAAGAGATTATGCATATTGCTGCTACGGCTGCTGCTGCCGCAGCTAACTCTGTTGACATGAAGAATGCTGCAACTGATTGTGCCACCACTTCACCTGTTCTTACGAGGTCTCCTTCACTTCAAAGTACTGCAACTGCTTTAGCTTCACCACAGGCACAGTTGTATCCTCTTCACAGGACTTCTCTTTGCAAACTGCAAGCTGGTAACTCTCAAATAACTTCTCTAGAAGATAGATGAAGTTAAAATGCAAAGATTGTATGATTTTCCTATGCAGTGCATGTTATCTAATCTAGCATCATGTTTATGTGAATATCAATTGGATCAGAACTACCAATTGCAAGGAGACACTCGCTTCAGCGTTTTTTCGAGAAGCGGCGGGACAGGTACTCCTTCCTTGCTGAACTTCCGTTCCTAGTTTCTTTCTTTCTTCTATCCTCATGCATAATAAGCTCTAACATTTTACTGTTTAAATATATGCCCCTAAGATATTGGGAGCCTTGCTTTGATGATATCAGAGTCTTTTTACTTATTGATGTGATTTACCTTTGATAAAAGCTAACTATTCATATATTGGGTAACAGTATCATATTAGCTGTCTTCAAAATTTGCTCCAAGCATGGGGATATAATAGTTATAATAAGTATAGTAACTGTTTCCTTTTGCAGGCTGGTGAACAGGAACCCATATCCTAATCCATCAACACCAAAAACAGCTGATGACAACAAATCTAATCTCAGTGCTGCAACTTCGCCTGAATCGGGCTGCTTTGAAAAATCACCTGTTCCTCAGGAAGACATCCAACCAAAAGCTCAAGCCCATGTTGCCTAAGCTAAGCATAGAGGATTCGTTACATATATATTTATGTATTTGGTAAAAATTAAATCTAGTTGTATTATTCTTGTAAACTGTAAAGTGCCCCTTAAGGCAGGTCTCATGGTATGCCTTGCCGTGACTTCCCATGAGAGTGCTTCGTAACGTAGGATCTGTTGATCTGTTCACTTGTTTCCTGTTGCCTCCGCCATCCAGGGACTGTCGTGATGTCTTTTAAACCTGTTCATCTTGTGTCTAATCTCCCTGACAATAGGCAAACTAAGCTATCTAGGATTTGCTATGCATGTATTAATTACCTTGGTTGTTGGCTCTCCGTTCTATTGCTATGTGAAGACCTATAATTTGTTTCTGATGTTGATGGAACTTTTGACGTTGCATTTTTCTGCAACGAGCATACCATGCGTCTAGTGATCTTAAAACCAGTAACACTTTTCAACTAGACGAGCGTTGATCGGCGTCTGTTATATCATTAGTGTTAAGTTAGGTAACAGAGTGAATAAAAAAAAAAAGGTGGATAGGAGTAGGAATAAGTCTTCACCTGCTTTGCATCTCGATCCAATGGTTATGGAGTTATGAATGATACTTGACGGTAATATTTACCATTTATCTATATCTAAGTAACTCCATCCATTTTCTTGACATATTTGTCCTCAGGGATTAACATGTCGCTCTAATTGAAATCAATAGTTGGTAAAAGATTCAAATGTATCACAAATGATTCGTGGCTGGACATGACTCTAGCAACTACAGGAAGGCGGTAGGGTAAAGGTTGGATGCCGTTAATATTACAACACTGTCGGATGGTTTTTTTAAAACTCGCTTGAACATAATGCAACTCTTCTTACCAGTAACACGTTCTATGGAGAAAAGATAACAATAGCACTGCACCATGTTTCAGACAAGCATTAGATATCATTGATGCTTCTTAAAATATTGATTTTTATCAAGGTTGTATCTTATAATCGAAGATTCAAGGCTCCGATCAATGAAGCATTCTTGGAATATTCACAATGCACAGACAATACTAATTTTTTACATTGATTGGGCATACCTTTATCAGCCATTGCCTCCCTTAACATCATATAAACAATAAAACTGCCAAAAGCTATTTGAAAACTTATTGGAGTGGGGTTTATCAAGCTAAACGAGGGAAAATTTAGAGGAAAAAGCATAAATATGAAAGTAACCTGGTGTACGTGCACGATGGTCTAACGAAGTTCATAACTTCAAAGTTAGACATCGCAAAACACTATATACAACACCATGTCCACGTCCCATTAACATTCAACTTTTTTCCTGTCACAGGAACTGCCTCACACTAGTGCAGACTCCGCATGATGCCATGTAGGTAGCCCCCTGTCATCACAAGTGACATAAGTGATACAACACCGGCTGGGAAGATTTTTCTTGACCTCTTGAAACGAGAACCCATCACTACCAAAAGCACAGCAGATACACCTTCAAATTAAATATCATAAATGCAATTAGGATTAAACTTGATGGAGCTAAAACAAAAATGAAATGAGAAAAAATAAGCTAAATCCTCTTAAATGGCTTCATATTTGTAATTAACATTCAAAAGAAAACTTAAAGATTCACCTCCTTATTCCTCATAAGTTAGGCTGTGATATTAACAGCTAGCAGCACCTTTTCTAATTCTCTTTAGTTTTGTGCAAACAAACAGGGGTACATGCTATCGCAAGTTGATAGTTGGTACTTTCTGCTAAGTATTGTAGCAAATGACATAACCCACCATTGGAAAGAACTTTAAAGGTATCTCTCTTTCTTTCTTCCCCAACAAAACTGAACACCCTTCCCTTCCTCTTCCATTCCCCCCCCCCCCCTCCTCTCTCTCACCTTTCCTTTTCACGAAAGCAAAAATCAACCTTATCTTCACTCTCAGGAAAATTTGTATCAAGATGATAACAAAAGGGCAAATCAGCTAATCCTTAGAAATTCAGCATTTAAGGCAAGTTCAAACTAAGGCTTTGCTAGGTAGAAGGGATGGAAAGAGATAGGGATGGAAAATTTGTTAATCTAATGGTCAAAATTCATAACTCTTTTACTACTTTATAGTTTATCCATTAGATCAATAAGTTTTCAATCCTTCCTACCAAGCAAAGTATAATCATCACTTAAGATGTAAATTAATCATCTTTAGCAACATAAACATACAACACCGAGGTGCAACAACGAAAAAATAGTACCAAGCCCAAGGGATGAGGCAAAAACTGGTCTTGTAGGGAGCTCAGTATAAACATAATAAAGCAGTGCGGCTGACAATCCTCCTGCTAGAAGCGACTTCTGGCTGCCACTCTTCATGTAGCCCATAACACCACCCACTATATATATATTAACAAAAATAATAAAAACACCCTCAGTAAAATGAAATATTTGAACGTTTGCAATTCTAAAGTCCAAATAACAATATCCATCTCCTTTATTTGAAGCAAATTATCACCAATTTTGTTTTATCACCAAGTTTGAAGTTTACCTAATTATCCAAAATCCAATCAAGTTTCTAGCAACTCCAATCTATAGCAGCACCAAAACACAAGCAACAAATTAAAACTGAAACCATAAGTCAAAAAAAAGAAAAAAACAAGAATTTTACCTCCAACAAGAGCAGCATATCCAATGGTCAACTTCTGGGACATGGACAAAGCCATGTTTTTTTTACCCCCGTTGTCCGAAAACTCCCCTTCTCCTTTTTTTCCACTATCGCCTCCGCCGCTATTATCCCCACCGCCACCGCCTCCTCCGCCGCTTCTGTCGTCAAACTTGTCTCCTCCGCCGTTTCCTGTGTCTACTTCGACTTCAATTCCTCCATTGGCAGAATCAACAGTGTTTGTAACAATCGTGGGAGCTTTCGAATCAGGAGATACTACCCCAGCTACAGTCACCCCTTTCAAATGAAGCTGACGATTGCCAACCACCGCAAATCTCGAGTAACCGTTATTGTTAAAGAGCTGTAGCCTTTGAAATGATCCAAGCTTTGGCTGAAGTTGAAGAGGAGACGACAGTGAAACACTTACCATCAAATTTGCCATTCTTTTTCTAATATTTTCCTTTGTCTCTGACGCTTTGTTTCTATTTTCCTTTCCCATTCTTGGACTCTCCAGAAGAATATTCTCTCTGGGCCCAAAAAAATGGGCTCATCGGTACAGGCTTGGCTCAGCCCTTCAGGTCATGCAATGTGACGCACCGAGGCAAGAACCAAGTCTATGAATGTGAAAGAATTATTTTTTTAATAGAGGAACTTATAGATGGGAGATGAAAAAAAATTATGGGTATTATAATTTAAATATTAAATTTATTAATTATAATTTTTTAAAATTAAATGTATAAATTAATTGAGATAGATTTTAGATTTGTAAATGAATTATTTTATAATTAAATTATAATTCATATAATGTATGAAATAATTTTATTTATTTAATATGAATATATATATATACAAATTAGTTTCTTTTTAAAATTATATTCAAATATTTAAAACCTATAACATATATAAAATTTATATATATTAACTTGTCATTAAAAAAAACTTTATGAAAATAGCAAAAAAAAATTATATCTTTCCTTTGAATATTTTTATTTACAACAATATTTATACACCTATAAATTATATCAAATAAAAATAAATTATGTCTTTTTTTTTAAAATGAAAATATGTATTATTTAATGATAAATTAAATAATAAAAAAAATATTGACAAACTTTTACTTTAGTAATATTGACTAAATTATTATACAAAATATGAAAAATGTTAGAGAATATGTGAAAAAAATAAATTAAAAAAATTATTTTTTATAACAATGAAACTGTAATAACAATAAAATATATTTTTAAAAAATTTATAAACAAAAAAAATTGCAATAGTAATAGAATATACCTTAAAAAAATTACTGAAAAAAATTTATATATAATACATTATATTTGTAGTCTTAAATTTGTAAAAAAATTCTTTAGTAGCAATTAAAATTAAATAGATAATTTTTAAAATTTAAAATAGATATAATAAGTGATAAAGATAATATTAAACTTTTTACATTTATTTGAAATATAAATTTGATAATTAGAGTTCAAATGGATATAATCATTTTGATAATCTTATTATTTAAAGATTTAAGATGAATTTTTTTTTTAAATTTTAAAATCTTACATTAAATTACTTAAATTTTTTAAAAGATTATTTTTTAAATCAAAAATTTTAAATCAAGATAAAAAAATATTATTGAAATATTTGGATAAACTTGATCTTTGCAATTTTTAAATATGTTTGAAAGATTCTAATAATTAAATAAATTTTTAAATAAAGTTATTTGGCAAACAACTAAAATTATTTATTAGAAAAATAAAATCCATATTTTATATTGTCATAACGTATAGATCTGTGAACTTATCGCTAAACTTAGAATGAAAGAAGTCACCACCAATCTTTTTTTTGGTTAGGTGTGATTGACCACCTGGTTGAAACTGATATGCAAAACAAAGGATATGTTCAGAAGTTGATTACGCATGAAAAATGTTATAACACCTCAAAACGCTTATCCAAAGGATGATGCAAGTTTGATTTCAAATTATCATACCTTATTTATTTTTTATAATTTATCAAATAATTTAATAATGAATTAGAAATTTTTTCTTTTTTCTCTCTCTTTTTTTTGGGGATAAATATTGCAGAAACAATCTTTTCTTATTTTTTTATTCTTTTATTCTATTTTTTTGTATATATTTTTATTTTAAAAAATAAAAAATAATAAAAAAGGTTAAAAACAAAATAAAAATAAATCAAAATATGAAAATAAAAATAAAATAGAAAAAAAAAACCTGCGATTGGGTCGGGTTAGGACGCGGGTTGCTGCATTGATATTCAGGTCAACGCACAGATTTTGACTGGCCAAAACAATGTCGTTCCAGGTAGCTATATAAGCCAATTCTAACGCCTTTGTTTCAAAACTCCTTCTACACTCTCTCTCTAGACTGAGAAGCTCTGCTTTCTCTCCAAGATTCTTCCAACACCTGTCGAAAAGTTCAATAAAAAATTAAAAATCTCACTGGTTTCTGGAAACTTCACAAAAAAATTCAACTGAAAAATAGAACCCACCAATTTTTGGAAAGCCTGTTGGATTCTGGAAATTTCATCGAAAAATTCAACATTCACATAAAAAATTCAATCGAAAAATTATTCTGTCACCGAAAAATTCATCCCAAACCTAGAAAAACCTAGAAAAAAATTCAAAAACATCAAGAAAAATTCAAAAAAAATTTTAGGTTGTTCTAAACCTTTTCTAAACCCCCTATAGCTTTGGAATCACATCCAGAAACCTAAAATCCCACCAGAACTCCGAATCAATTCCTAAACCCCAATCTCCGAATCCTAGAAACCCTTATTGCAAAATTTTTTCAAAATTTCCCTAACAATTTTCTTTATTTTCTGTGTGTTTCTGTATCTTTTTTTGTGTGTTCTTATCTGTTAAAGATAGTTCAATTTATAGGCGTCTCTAGGATTGATTTTAGGAAACCGACATAATCAATCCCAAACTTAAATCCTGGGATTTGATTCTGTCCTAACAAGATTCTAGGTCCAAAATCTTAGCAATCACATTAAAACTTTGACCATGTGGGATTCTGATTCTGTTTTCACTCATGTGTGAATTAGATTCAGAAACGAAAGTAGCAAAGAGAGGGAAAAAAGGGAAAAGACCAAAATAAATAAATAAATAATAAAAATAATAATAAATAGAATAATAATAATAATAAAAATAATAAAATATTTAATTAAACCAAAATGAGCCAGGATGGGCCTAAACCAAGATGGACCTGACCAAATTGAGCCTAATTGAGCCCGAACCAAAATAGGTCCAATTGGGCTTGGACCAGAATGGACCCGATTTGACCCAAATCGAAATAGGTGTCTATAGCTACCCCTTTTTGCACATCTTTGTGAGACAAGGATGTTGTAAAGACCTAGACACTCACTTTGGACTTGAATTTGAAAAATAACCTGGACTGAACTAAGGTTAAGAGATCGGGATTAAACCACGAGTCAAATGAAGCGACTAAGACCAAGTCCAAGTAAAAAATGATAATTGGGATGAAACCACAAATCATAAGCAATGATCTGGACTTAGCCAAGATTGAGCAACCGGGATGAAACCATGAGTGATACGAAATGAAACAGCTAGGATTAAGTCAAGGTCCAAATGAATGATCGGGACGAAATCATAAATCATGAGAAATGATATAGACTAAACCAAGATCAAGTGATCGGGATAAAACAATGAGTCAAATAAAGTGACTAGAACTGAGTCAAGGTCGAAAATAAATAATCAGGATAGAATCACGAATCATGAGAAATGATCTGGACTAAGCCAAGATCAAGCTATCGGGATGAAACCATGAGTCAAATAAGATAATCAGGATCGAGTCAAGGTAAAAAATAAATGATCGGGATGAAATCATAAATCATGAAAAATGATCTAGACTGAGTCAAGATCAAGCCATCGGGATGAAACCACGAGTCAAATGAGGCAACCAGGACCGAGTCAAGATAAAAAATAAATGATTGGGACAAAACCACGAATCATAAGAAATGATATAGACTGAGCCAAGATCAAGTGATCGGGATGAAACTACGAGTCAAATGAGACGACCAGGACCGGGTTAAGGTAAAAAATAAATGATCGAAATAAAATCACAAATCATGAGAAATGATCTAGATTGAGTCAAGATCAAGAAATCGAGATAAAACTATGAGTCAAATGAGGTAACTAGGATCGAGTTAAGGTTAAAAATAAATGATCGAGATGAAACTACGAATCATAAGAAATGATCTGGATCGAACTAAGATCAAGCGATCGGGATGAAACCATGAGTCAAATGAGGCAACCAGGATAGAGTCAAGGTAAAAAATAAATGATTAGGATGAAATCACGAATCATAAGAAATGATCTGGACTGAGCCAAAATCAAGTGAGTGAAAATAATACAAACGTATACTTTATCTATGATACAAATGAATAATTAATTGTGGTATTAAGGCTTTTGTTTTCTCATTTCTGTACACCTTTAGTAGAAAAACCATCATATATTATCCTGCATGTTCACCTTCACTATGCTCTTTAACAAAAAAATTCTTCTTCACATTTGACAAAGAAGCTATTTTTCATCAATTTAGAGGTGCATTTTTTACAAAGAAACTATTTTTCATCAACCTAAAAATGTACAAAGAAACCATTTTTCATCATTTTGAAGGTAATTTTGGCAAAGGAACTTTTACGTCCGCCTGTCTGTTTATCCTAAAGAGAGCCATGAAAGTCAATTTCTCTTTTTTTTGGAGAGATCATCTTTTGCCTTTATCTCTTTCAATCTTTTAAAATAGCAAACTTCTTATGATTTTTTTCAATTATTAATCATTATCCCAATTTAAAAGCATGAGGATGCAAGTTATGCATTTCTTCCATTCATAGCAATATGTAAAGAAAAAAGGTAACGTATAGGATTTAGAGAATGAAAAGATAGCTTTCATTTATTTGGATAATCAGTTGCAAATGATGGTGGAAAGGAAAAAAATGTACAGGAGCGACCATTTGGGGTAGCAGTACCATAGGATAAATGATTAGATAACCATGATAACAAATCTCGGATCTCCTTCAAAAACTCAATTAAAACTTGATGCCCCAACACTTCAAAGTTTTTCAAAATTTACTATCCCGGATATGCTTTCCCAAGTACTGCAATTCCAATTACCTTGCAGAGTTTTGACCTTTTTTTTGGCTCTAAGTCATCTTTTCGAGTTTTTGACTTGAACTTCTCCCTTTTTATTTATTTATTTATTTATTTTTATTTTTAATTAATTAATTAATTTTATTTTTATTTTTTATTTTTTTAAATCAAGCAAAATACTTCTTCACTACATCAGAGTTGATAGGACTGAAAATTCATCTCTATTCATTTCTGACAAGATCAAGGCTTCTCCGAAAAAAGCTCTTTTTACCACATAAGGCCCCTCTTAATTTGGAGTCCATTTTTATCTATCATTATGATGACTTGGAAGAATCTTTTTTAACACCAATTCTCATTCTTAAAACTGTCGATGCCTGACCTTTTTATCATGAGCTCTTATCATTTTTCTTTGATACAATTGACCATGGCATAATGTCGTCAATCTCTTCTAATCAATAAA